CTCTTGCTCTCGGCATAAGGCTCGAAACGGAGGAACGGGAGGGAGGGCGGGGGGGGAGTGGAATGAGAGTGAGTCCACTATAAATGTGGCCCGCGCAAGTTCCACCAATCATTCGCCCTCTGACCTCGAAACTCTCGAAGCTCCAGTCTCCCGGTCTGTTTCGCGGTACCGAGCATATCATCCCGTCTACAACAGCCACCACGTCGCGATCGTCATCCCCGCTCTGGCACGATCCTGAGCCATTTCTCCCCGATAATAGTCGTACGCATCACTTCGAGGCCATCACTCGTCTCGGAATCCGCGCCTCGTGACGACCACCCTACCACCACCACCACCACCACCACCACCATCACCCGCTGAGGACGCCGCCGTAAGAAGAAGCGGCGGTACCAAAGACGGCGGAAACCGGACACAGACAGGACCAGTGTTATACCGCGATTACAACAGCGACGAGAGGCAGCAGAGGCCCCTTTATCGGCAGCATGACAACGGTGAGTTAACAAATTGATAAGATCATTAATTAACGTTTGCAAATAGAACTTTGCAAATAGCCCTTTTTTTCCTCTGATATGTCCCTTGTGTTTTCTTTGTATTATCTTCCGCCTCCACTTTATATATATATATGTATATATTTTTTCTTTTCCGCTGGGGTGGCGTGTAGTTTGCAAAGGCACAAAGACCGGCTCCTTCGAGTGTCTCTCGGAAAACATTTAGCATTCTTGAATGTATATACATGGTGGCAGTTTAATCACGAAAGAGAACGAAATTATTTCTCTCGAGACAACCAATAAGGCGAAACTGTTTCGCGTGATAGAAATTAATTTTTTTTACGAGGCGGAAAACATTAATTGAGGAAGTGGAAAAGAGGAAAAATATTAACGCGGCGCTTTGTGCTTGCCGTGTTTCCGCTTCAGAAATTCGAGCGACGCGCTCTTTTTTAAATTTGGCAAGTAGTTTAACGGGTGTGCAAAACGATATTTTTTAAACATCTGCAATTTTAATCTCGTCAAACGGCAGAGTTGATGTAAAAATGTTAGCGAATATAATTCGAAGAGTATACGTGGTATGTTTATAGAAAATTAAATCGGCAGCAATCATGTTGCAAATTGGATCCGGGCGGGTATTCGAGATGCGCATTCAATCGCGTTCTCGTTTTAGTTTTGCATCTGCGGTGGAAAAGTAATCGGAACCGGAGGCACAGAAAAGTGCGTCTCTCTCATCCCCTTTCGTCTCACGGGGATGTATTACATCGTAACACACATCTGACGAAAGCTTTTTGCAAAATTTTCGAATTACCGTCGTTCACATCGCGCTTCAGCCGGTTGATGGCGAAGTAGATCGACGGCACGCCGAATCACTTTCGAGACGAAAGAGTACTTTACGGGTAAAGGTATATGCAAATTTTTCAAATTCAGATAAAATTCTCGCGATGATGCATAAGGTTTATACGCTTAAATATTTATTTATATCGTAATAAAGTAGAATATGTTAAAATGGTCAATTATAATGTTTTTAACATTTGACGGATTGACGTAAATCATAAAAACACGCAACGTTTTTTTGCGCAAAAAATATACACTAGCTATAAATTAGAATAAATTCTTTGTTTATTCGCTTAAGTATTTCTTTACGTATAGAAATTTGCAGTCGAGACGCGACACGTTAAGATGATTCTCGATGAAAGTTTCGTGAATTGAATCACGTCAAAGAGAAAAACTGATATAAAATGGATGTTAATTGCGCGAGACTTCTGGCAATATGCATCATCGCGTTCGCAGCAACAGTTTGTCGGATAGGCTATAAGCTTGACATATCACCGTTGCAGCAATCTGTACTGCGCTACGCAAACTGTCACAATTCATGCGCTATGCTGTCACGACTGTGTTAAATCCACGTAAAACCGATGTACCATTAGCTAATCACAAAGTATAACACGCAAGTATCACACGCATAACACATAATGAATATGAGGAAAAAATAAAACTATGAAAGTATATAATAAAAGATATCACTGTAATTAGAATAAAATTTCTGACGAATATTCGAGAAACGTTGTTTGACGTCGTATTATACTATACATTTGTAGCGGCAAAATGGTCGGGTTATAAATAATCATTTATTAAATTAATTACATTTATTCAGCATGTTGTTGAGAAATAATTGCAAACGTTTTCCTAGCATTGCGGGCGCGGCAATCTAGATATGTCGCTAAAAATCTCCGAGTTTTGTTACTCATACTTTCTTGGCCGCGTATCGCAATTAGTTTTGCGAGTTTAGATACCATGTGTATATTCCCGACCAGAACGAAGCGCGATATACGTGTATCAAAGGGCAAATGTAACTATTGCGGATGCTGGAGACATTACGTCTAGTCCGGAGTAGTCGCCAGAGAATGCATAAAGTTTCTTTACTCGCTGCCAGTTAGACGTACGTATATATACGTCGACCGTGAACGGAGCGGCGTTTCGCACGATTTTACGACAAACGTTTTTGTTAACGTTCCGACATTACCCTCTCATCACTCAAGTACTCTTTTACGAGAAATAATTCCTTCAGCATCTTGACATTAATCTTTTAATCGTGAAATTATTTTTATCGCGGTATTATTGGATGAAACATTATCTTGAGCATATGTTTCTCAAGTGCAGCGTATAAGTTACTCGACGCTAACTTAGATTATACGACGATGAAACGACGTAGATTGCGATAACACATGAATGCACCAGCTTTTATGATTCCGCATGACATAATAATCTCGACATTTTATCTTGACTGAAAAGGAGAGAGACCACTCGAGAAGTTCAAGTTATTTAGGAAAGTACAGTATGACAATTCGGCTGACCGACTTTTCAACGAAAACAATTCGGCGAGAAATAATTCCAATGGCAAATAGACGCATCGACAGAAGGAATCGTCCTTTTCTCAAGGCAGTCTCACCGCGTTGTTTGTACAAAGATGATGATCTGCGCCTACGACGTGAATCTTTACGTCAAAGGACTACGGATCAGCGAGCAATCCTTTATCGCAACGTGGAAGATGGAGAGGCGGAGTATATCTTCGGGATAATTAATGAATTGGGGATTACGAGAGCCGAAATCTGCTTCTTCGGCTCTAGGATGCGACGTCGATCGCGTCGCTGATAAAAGGGAGAAAAATGAATCAACGAGTCCGGACGATCGGCAACGCGGTCGGTGAAAGAGTAGAATGGAAGCGAGACGCAAGTGGAAGAAGCGTAGGAGAGACGCGACTATGCTTTTTGTATGCCACCAGACGGAGAGACGCCACGACGTCCCACATACGAGACGAGCGTGACCGCGCGCGATCCACTGGCCTCTCTCGCACTCCTGTGGGATGTTTCGCACCCCATCGCTCATCCCATCTCTCTTCTGTCTTTCTTCCCTCCTCTCTTTGTCTTTTTCTTTCAGCGTTTCTCGTTCTCGTTTTCCCTTTGTCATCTCTTTCCGCTCGTCTCGTATTCCCCGACGGCGCCTACGCACTCGAAAGCGCGTGTCGTTAACTTGTGAGACGCGCCAATAAAGCCGCGATCGAACAAATGAGCGAATCTATCGCGCGATTACGCGGCTGAATCGAGTTCGGTCGTTTGTCAGCGAGTCGGCGCGCTGTACTGTTTTGTCCCGTTGCGAGAAAAAGGTTAGAGTAATTGTAAAAAATTTGCGAATTATGGACGTGAAAAACGGGCGTGTACTCGGAATTATTTTATCGCGCTGTCTCTTTTCCCTGGGTTTTTCTCTTTATGCACGCTACGTGATGCAAAATGTCATGCGCTTCCTCGTAGAGGCTGAGTAATCAAATAGAATTGCTTTTGCCCCGTCTTATTCCTTTGCTTCTGCAAAAATATGGGAAATATAAATCTGGATAGATCGAGATAATTGGGTTTGCAATATTTTAGAGCAAGCATGCAGGATGTTTTTAAAAAGTTTCTCGAAAATATCTAAGAAAGAAGTGTATTTTTTGATAGTATTTTTAGTTCAACCAATTTTCCGTGAAAGAAAATACCAATAAAAGTCATCGTTTGTTGCGAGTTTTCAGCTTTCGACATTACGTTTCTTGAAAAGTCTACACAGACACGCAATCTTCGCAATCTTTCTTTTATTTGTGGCAGTCTTTTTATTTTCAGCGTGAAATTGATCCCAAATTTGTGGAAAGATCTCTCTGTAAAATCTCTTGGCCGGAAGCGTTTTGCGTTACGCGATAAATTTCACCTACATATTTTTTTTTTTATCATAATAATTATTGCAACATTCGTGTTTTTTGATGCGTAAATACATCACACGAAGCAAACACGCGGCATGATGTATACTTCAAATTACAGATCGTGTAAAAAATACCAATTTGTCAGCGCTTAAATGCAAGCGTCTACGTGAACGATTAAATTCACTTAAGAAGGAAATGTTGTTTTCGAAAACAGAATGCAAGAATGGAATTTCTTTCTCTCTCGCGCCAAGAGAAGTAAAAGAGAAGTAAACCATCGTGACGACGGAAGATGAGCATAATAACGTCATAAATTACGCCGCAAACAGAAATAATATCGGCCGAGATGTGTATCGCGCGCGGAAAAATGTAATTGAACTTGTGTAACGTGTAACGTTCTTGACGTGACGCACACGTCATCGTAAAACGGCATTTAATACCGCGATAAGTCTGAAAGCCGCGCGAAATTGTATCAATTTCCGCATACATGACACTTCGCTTTATAAATCCACTTTTACGTTTGTGTCCTACTACCATTAGCATGCACAAACAGTGGATAAAGTTCCCTCGAAAATAACGAGTGGTCGTTCGCACACCGATCTGTCGACCTTGGTAATTGATATCGCCACAAAGAAATAAGAGGACGAATCAAAAAGCGCTGTATAAAAACGAAAGCCCTATAATATTTGTCTATTTGATCAAAGTCTATAGACGGTAAAGTGGTCCGATAAAATATAGTTGTCAGATTAATTATTTTACTAATTTATATTTGCAGATGATATGGAAAGTGGTAGATTGATATATAATTAAAGCGAAGCGCTTTTAAAGCCACGCTACAACGAAACACAGAAAAGCTCTAAATTGCAAAATTATATTGTTGCGTCCGGAAGCCTGTTGCGTCTGTGATTTGTTTGCACTATCGCGTTATTTAATATTATTCGCGGTGTCCGCGGAAGAGTAATGAACATTTAATAAGCTTAATGAAACCTAAAACACAATATAGCAATTAAGAAGCAAAGAGAACTTTGTTGAAAATCTCTATCGTTCGATTGTTCGATGCATTCCTTAGAACATCGAGATTCGTGCACGATTATCTTTCCTTATCACGTTAATTCGTTTCTTCGCGACGCTGCTTTAATTGTTTAATGCCAATCTTCAATCGTCTCAGTATTGATCGCGGCGCGGCGGATGACAAAAATATGCCGATTTTATTGGTGCGGACGTAACACTGTTTTCTCTCTTCGAAATCGTTGCCTCGATAATTCTATTTGTTGGAATC